TCCCTCCCCTCGCCTGCCCTGCCTGTCAGAGGCCTCTTCTCTCTTCCCTCCCCTCCCCTGCCCCACCCTGTCAGAGGCCTATTCTCCCCCACCCCCAGAAGGGCCCCAAGCACATCCTTGTCTTGGTCTCCCACACCTGGGAAAGCTTTGCCTTAGCTTCGTTTAAAATGCTCCCCAAAGCAGCTCCTGAGACAAGAACTTGGGAGCGAGTAGTTTATTTGGGCGGTGGCCCCAGGAAATATAATGAGAGGGGAAGCGAAACCGGGAGGGGATACAAGCCAGTAAGAAGTGCATTGATAAATGGGTTGCCTCTTGCATGGGACCCTCCAAGGAACCGCATGGAGTCCATGCCAGAATTGTCCAGCGGGGAACGGGGAAGCTGTGTGTCCCCGGCTCCTCTCCCTCACTGGCTGAGGGCTGCTCCGGGGACGTGCACTCCCCAGGCTGCCTGCAGCAGCTGGAGGTGCACACGCAGGTGGGCTGAGGGGCGTGGGACAGGTACCAACTGGCTCTGCCGTGGTTCCCAGCGCTAAACCTAAGCCTCCCCTCCAAACGCTCATTCCTCTTGCCGACGTGCTGGACAGTGGGAGCCATTCCCCATGGAAAGCTCCGCAGCTGCCCCTAGGGGTGGGGGCGGGCCCTCTGGCCCCAAGAAGGCACCAACATGGGGGGGACTCTATTTTTGACAGGCGTCTCCAGGTGAGTCTGGCAGTGGCCAGGCTGGATCTACTGCTCTAGATGACCTCTGGGTTTCCTTCAGAGCCCGGGAGTCAAGGTTTTAGGTTTCCCCCATAGCAAAACGAGTCGCCATTTATTGAGCACAGACTGGGATAATGTGCCAGCGCAAAAGGCAGAGGTTCTACCTGGGAGGCCCCCACGGGCTCACGGGGCAAGAACCAAGAGCACCAGTCAGTAAAACCTGAAGTGGAATTTGCTGCAGTGAAGGAAAAAGTATGCTTTGCTCAGTGCCACAGAAAAGAGGGGACAGAGCCGGGGAGGCAGAGAGGGGACGGAAGGGAGACTGGAATGGCCCGGAAAAGGTGGCAAGAAACGGATTGTGAGAAGGCTTGAATGCCCAGTTGAGTCTGAATTTTCATCTAGAAGTGAGGTGGGGCCAACAGAAGATTTTTTTTTTTTTTCACTTGGGAAGGGTGACACTAAATACCCATGTCCTACTCCTGGGCTTCTAGGTGATGTGTACTCCTTATCAGAGGGCGTGAAGAGGGACGCTTGCTGTCTCCGTCACGTTCATGCGGCCAGAGACAGAGGACTTGGAAATGGTGGGCTAGTCAGATGGAGGTGGCTTTGGGAAGAGCCTGCGCAGGGGGGCCCGTGTCTAGCACTGGGCTGTGTCATGAGAGAGAAACACGCCCTTGTGCTAAGCCACTGCCATCCAAGGGCTTACTCGTTACCGCAGCTTAGCCTGTTCTCTTCCGACCGATACAAGAAGGCAAGGCGGCAACAAGAGACGTGGATGCGGCGTTCATCCATGTCATTCTCAACCGTCCTGTGACGTGGGCGCTGAGGTCCCAACTTTGCGCCGAAGTCACGCGCAGCCGGCGGGTGAAGCAACAGGGACTCCCACCCGGGCTGTGTCTGATTCCGGAGCTTTGCCCTTCACAGGATTCCTCAAAGTCTGGCATGCGTGCCACTGGCAGAACACGAGGTAATTTTCGGTGATGTGCGGATGCAGAGGTCAAATTTAATTAATTTCGAATGTATCTGGAAGGCACATTGGAATACCTTTATAAATGGTACAGCAACCCAGAGATTTCACGGCTGTTACTTCTTAGGAGGAGAAGGAGAGTGTTTTTCACCAAGTGAGTTGGTTGGTTTAGAGTTAATTAAAGAAACAGAGTAAATAAATAAGAGTAAAGGTATGTGTGGATCCAGCCAAACTGCGAGGTTGGCGGGGGAAGGAGGGAGGAGGAGCGCGCGATAACCAGGTTTGCTCTTCAGGAAAGGAGTGGAGTCCTGGGGGCGCGGGAGGGGAGCCCTGCGCCCCTTGCCACGGAGCCGCCTGCCCGGGGCCCCTCGCTTTAGTGCCAAGGCGCTCTCTCGGACAAAACACTAAAGGCTTTAAGTTTCTGGAAACCCGAGGTGTGTGAAAACAAGGAGAGGGAACAGCAGGAGCCCTTCACGGCTGCCCGTCTGACTTGCGAGCCTTTTTTTTCTCTGGTTCATACCGGACACACTGTTCCCAATTTTCATTCCTGGGGGGGAAGAATGCTTCACATTTTGAAAACACAAATATTTATTTTCTTTCCTCAATGTATAGGCTGAACTTCCTCCCCCTAAGCCCTTGCTCCCGCTGTGGAATGTGAAAGCTGCCCCCTTTTGGGGGGGAACCTATCTCTGCTCCTGAAAACTTACCTGTGGCCCATTTCTGTGGCCGTGCTAATGAGCGGATGGGTGACACGGAAAAGGCGCCTGTGTTCCTTGGAGGAGCCCATAGAACGGCCATTCAGACTCGGGACTGAAAGAGCTGTTTCATGGGCCCAGCTGCTGGCCCGGCCAAGAGAGCCGTGTACCCCGAGCTCCGGCCGCGGCCCCGTGCATCGGGGAGGGGAACGCGGGGCCAGGAGGCTGCGGATCACGTTCTCCTCAGGCAGCTCCAGTGGGCCGCGGCCACCGCTGCAGACCCCAGCCTGACCCTGGTCGGTTCCCCAGGAAATGCAACCCGTTTGTTACCTGTTGCTTCTTTCAATGTATTTCTTCATTTGCTGACCAGATACCCTGTTCCCGCGTCGTGCCGGGTCCTGAGGGTCAGTGGCGGCTGAGTCGGGCCAGATGCCCCCCGCCCCGCCCCCCAGCTTGGAGGGAGCTGATGGCCAGTGGGGGGCAGCTAACACATTTATGACCCAATTTTGGGAAGTGAGAGGCACTGCAGTTGTTTTGCCCTGCAGTGTCTTTGGAAAAAAGAATTATGCTTAAAAGTTGTAGAGGGATAAGGGACCGGCAGCCTTGACTAGCGTTTGGAGCTGGGGACGGCTATGAATGATACGAATAAATGAAATCTACGTGGGAAATGTCAGAGGGAAATGCTGTTTGCTTCCTCATTCTCTAAACCGGGGGCAAAGAGGGATGAGGCCTGAGTTCCAGGCTGGGCTCCGCCCCTAACTGGCTGGTGGCTTCAGGCAAGTCATGGACTTCTCTGGGCCTCAGTTGTCTCATCTGACAAATGGGCTGATGCCCTTGGAGCTGCTGACCTCACAGGTTTGTTTGGAGAACAAGGAGACACAGTAAGAGAGCGTGGTTGCCATTGTCGCTGAAGATTGTGAGACTCTTGGTTGGGTCACTTAAAAAAAAAAGTCTGTACATTTCTTTTTAAGGCATAACTCATACAGGGTGAGGCACACAGGTCTTAAATGTTAACGATCCTGTCTGCTGGAAAGATGATAATCCTTTGACCCCCATCTCCCCTTCTGTCTTCTCACTGCCTCCTCACACGGTCCCAGTGAGGCAGGCAAGGCAAGAACTACCATTCCCACTGCATGATAACAAGCCGAGGCTCAGAGAGGTTAAGTTAGCAGCTCTAGGTCACACAGCTGTTCAGCCACAGATGGAGATCTGAACCTGGGTCTCTCAGTTGGCCAAGCGCATGCTCTTTCCATATTACCAGACCTCCTTGCAGCAGCAGGGGCCATTCCTGGTGATGTTCCTTTACTTATAAGCCTTTATTTTTGCTTTCCAGTGCAGACCCTGGGCTGGGCCCAGATGCAGGGATGAATCAGTCAGACTCTTACCAGCTCCTGGGTGAGACACACAGTGATGGAAGCACGGGAAAGGGGTCCTAATCCTGGAGGAGCAGGGTAGAGAGGCAGCTCCACCAAGCTCCACCCAAGCAAGCAGGGTGGCTGACAGCACTGACCTGGGCCCCTGTTCTGGCAATGATACTTTTTTAAAAAAAAGATTTATTTATTTATTTTAGAGAGAGAAATAGCATACGTGCACACGTGTGAGGGGGCATGGGGAGGAGGGGCAAGGTGAGAGCGACAAAGAGAATCTCAAGCAGACTCCCCACTGAGCACGGAGCCCATCTCAGGGCTCGATCCCACGACCCTGAGATCATGACCTGAGCCGAAACCGAGTGTCGGACACTTAATGGACTGAGCCACCTAGGTGCCCCAGCAATGGTACTTCTTAGCGGTGTGACTTCCGACAAGCTACTTCATCTCTCTGTTTTTCAGTTCTTCTGGAAAATGGGGATCATAATAGTAGCTGCATCACGGGGTTGTCAAGGGAATTAAATGAGAAGATTCATAGAACCCTGCTCCTCTCATCCACCTTAGAAGGTAGGCTCAGAGAGGTGAAGCGACTGGCCCACGGTCACACAGGTAGCATCTAGCAAACCCAGGTAATCTGGCTTCAAGTCTTTGCTCCTGACTGTCCTCTCTACCGCCCTGAGCACACAGGTCATTTCCAACGATGATCTTGAAAGATTCTGTTAGGCAGAGAGTGAATGGGAGGGAAGGGCGTTGGGGGCGGGTGACCCGGCCTGTACAAAGGTCCGGAGGGCACCTTGGAGACCCCAGGTGAAGGTGCCCGGCAGGGAGAAGGTGGAGAGGTAGGGGACAGCCGAGGTGGAGTAGGGTCAGGGCTGGATGAGGAAATGGATGTAGGTGAGCGAAGCGGCGGGGTGTGGGGTGAGGGTGCAGGGCTGGGCTGGGGCTTGAGGCCCCTGGGCTGGGCTTTCCCTGGGCTCGGAGTGGCAGCTTTGGGTCAGGGCCCGCTCCAACCCCTGGAGGAGCCACCCTCCACCCACCTGAGATTTCCTGAGTTCCGGCTGCAGCCCGGGCTGCTTCTGCAGGCAAAGGAGCCCTTGTGGTCGGAGGGGCCTCTTGAGCCCAGGCCAGGTGGCTCCCTCCCTCTCTGGGCACACACACCTCCATTCAGCCCGGGCCACGCCCCCCAAGGGGGCTAGGGGCCCGGGCAGCCGCCCCCACGTCAGTGGGGGCCGCCTGGCTGGGAGGCTGGGCAGCGAGGTTGATAAGCCCGGGACCCCACTGGCCCCCAGCACTGTGCCGGCTCCTGCCCGCGCTGCCGGAACCATGAGGCTCCTCTCCAGCGCCAGCCTCGTGACGTGTGGCCTGCTGCTGCAGCTCCAGGCCCTGTGCACGCTGGGCCTCGCCCCCCACGCCAGAGGTGAGGGGGTCCACGGGAGGTGGGGGACAAGGGGCTGGGCCCCGAGACGAGCAGAGGTTAGGTGGGATCCTGGGGTGGGCCGGGGGGGGTAGGGGAGGCAGGTGTGGCAGCAGGCTGGCACGGGGGCCGACAGCAATGGTGACGTGCGTAAGGGCCAGAGCAGGGGTGACGCTCAGTCTGTTCCATTGAGGGACAGGGGTGGGCCTGTCTCTGCAGCCTCAGAGCCTTCCCTGGGGCTCCCCAGCTCCCAGGCCACCCTCGGGGACCACGCATGCTGCCAGGGCCAGTCTTGTGGGTCGCTGAGGACAGAAGATGGAGCTGCACCAAGCCCAGGGCCGAGCCCACGCTCTGCTGAGTGCAGCTCTGGGGTGGCCAGGACTCCACCCCCCTTTCCCCAGCCCTTCCAGCATACCTGGGTGTAGGCTCCTACCTGCTGTACCGCTCCCAGAGCTTCAGCCTTGGGCACTGAATCCCAGAATGCCCAGCTCATCCTGTACAGATGGGGAAACTGAGGCTGGAGAAGGGAGTTCTCTTGGTTCCCGATCCACTGCTCCATGGTGTGGCTAATTCCCTCACCCTCTGTGGACCTCGGTTTACCCATTTGTAGCTTAACTAGTAGGGACCAGAGTGCGGCTGCAAGGTCATTTCTCAGGTCCCTTGAGGAACTCTGGTACCTAGGGCACTGTGGCTGGGGGGCTGGGACGGCCCAGGACCCCTTCCCTTTCCTGAGCCTTCCTGCATCCTCACTTAGGAGCAGCTCTGCTCAGTTCGGGACGCAGAGGGAAGGGCCTTTGTTCTGAGCCCCGCCTGGCTGCAGGGCCAGGACAGTGACAGTACCAAGCAGTGAGCTTTATTCTCCCCACAGGACAGATGAGAAACTGAGGCTCCTAAAGGTGCAGTGAGCTGCCCAGGGCCAGCGGGGCTGAGCTGGGATTCAAACACCACTCTGCTTCATTCCAGCTCCATGCACTTTCCAGCACATGGTGCTGCCTGCCCGGGGTGTCTGGAAAGATGTGCCTCTGTAGGGATATGTTAAAAAAAGAAGAAGAAGAAAAAGAAGATAACAGGAGGGGAAGAATGAAGGGGGGGAAATCGGAGGGGGAGATGAACCATGAGAGACTATGGACTCTAAAAAACGAACTGAGGGTTCTAGAGGGGAGGGGGGTGGGAGGACGGGTTAGCCTGGTGCTGGGTATTAAAGAGGGCACGTTCTGCATGGAGCACTGGGTGTTATATGCAAACAATGAATCGTGGAACACTACATCAAAAACTAGTGATGTAATGTATGGTGATTAACATAACATAATAAAAAAAAAATCTCAGCCTCGGGCAACTCACTGCCCCTCTCTGAGCTTAGTTTCCTCGTGTGTACAGGGAGCTGACAATCCCCTCTTTACAGGATCCATCGGGGCTGAGCAGCAGTGTGTGCAGGGTGCCAGGACAGGGCTGGGCACCAGCCTTAATCTTAATCTCAGTTTGCTTCCTGAGATTAAGAATTCCTCATATCAGTGAGGTCATATGATACATGTCTTTCTCTGATTGACTTATTTCGCTCAGCATAATACCCTCCTGTTCCATCCACGTCATTGCAAATGGCAAGATCTCATTCTTTTTGATGGCTGCATAATATTCCATTGTATATATATACCACATCTTCTTTATCCATCCATCTGTCGATGGACATCTGGGCTCTTTCCACAGTTTGGCTATTGTGGACATTGCTGCTATAAACATTGGGGTGCACGTACCCCTTCAGATCCCTACATTTGTATCTTTGGGGTAAATACCCAGTAGTGCAATTGCTGGGTCGTATGGTAGCTCTATTTTCAACTTTTTGAAGAACCTCCATACTGTTTTCCAGAGTGGCTGCACCAGCTTGCATTCCCACCAACAGTGTAGGAGGGTTCCCCTTTCTCCGCATCCCCGCCAACATCTGTCGTTTCCTGACTTGTTAATTTTAGCCGAGGCTGAGATTTGAGCCTCTGTCTTTCCCACGGGGCTGAGCTGTGGGGGCCTTTGGCAAGTGGGTTGCCCGGGTGTCCACATGCTGACAGAAGGACCTACCCGGCCTGGCTCAGCTTCAGTCTACACTGCCGGAGGCCTCCAGTCTCGGTCTAAGTAGCCCCTGACCTTTGCCCTTGCTCTTGGCCCTCTCCCTCCCGTCCCCTTGCAGGGCAGCTCTGCCGGACCCGGCCCACGGACCTGGTGTTTGTGGTGGACAGCTCGCGCAGTGTGCGGCCTGTGGAGTTCGAGAAGGTGAAGGTGTTCTTGTCCCAGGTCATTGAGTCGCTGGATGTGGGGCCCAATGCCACCCAGGTGGGCGTGGTCAACTATGCCAGCGCCGTGAAGCAGGAGTTCCCGCTGTGGGCCCACGGCTCCAAGGCCTCGCTGCTCCGGGCCGTGCGCCGCATCCAGCCGCTGTCCACGGGGACCATGACCGGCCTGGCCATCCAGTTCGCCATCACCAAAGCCTTCAGCGACACTGAGGGGAGTCGTGCCAGGTCCCCCGACATCAGCAAGGTACGTGTCCCGCCCTTCCCCGCCAGCGTCCTGCTGTGAACCGCCTGCAGGATTCTCCAAACCGGCTCACAGTTGTGTCTTAGACCCAACGAAGCCAAGTGGCAGAGCTGGGATGTGAACCCATCTTTATCCACCCTCTGACCGCAGGACCTCAGTCTGGTGAGAGCTCGATTATTTCAGTTTGGTGGACCTTGGCTCCCCGAGGCCGAGTGAGGCAGTCCAGACGCCCCCCACTCCCCGGACTGGCTGTGTCACCCTGAGCAGCGCGTGCAGCTCCTTGTCTCAGTCCCTTCACCCATTAAACCACAGTAAACCAACTTTCTCGAGGGGCTGTCGGGAGGACTCTGTGAGTCCGTAACATAGAGTGCTCAGAACAGCGCTGGCCCTACCAAGCCCCACGGAAGGGTTAGCTCAGGTTTTATTTAATCAGCCTCTGAGGGCAGGGGTTCAGAAAAATGAGATGATGCGCCGCAAGCCAACGTCAGTACGGACTCCAGGCCGGGTGCCGAGGACTTCACAGACCTGGTCCCCACAGTGGGATTTCCCAGGACTCAGCCCAGGGCCTGCGAGGCTGGTCAGGTGTTCTCTTCCGCGGTGGTCTGCCCACAGACGCCCACATCGCCCCTTCATAGCCCTCAACGGCCCCAAGGAGTCACCCTTTACCTGCCCAGGGCCTCGACCCCGGGGACGTATTTTCTTACCCCCATGCAGGACATGCCTGACACATGAGCGCCGAAGGAATGCAAACTTGCTTGGAGGTGGTATCCTCATTTTACAGATGAGGAAACTGAGGCATGGGAGGCTTAAGTGTCTTGCCCAGTTAGTAAGTGGTAGGGATGTCTAGAGATAATAGCACACAATCCCGGCCACTATAGCCCTCGAAGAAATGGCCTGTTAGGCAGCCTGTTGGTTGTCCTTTGTGGGGGCCCTTTACAAGCTCTGACGTGAGGTCCTTGAGAGGCTGTGGTGACCTGGGGTGATCCTAATAAGAGAGAGGTGGTGAAGGGGATGGTGGTGACGTCCGTAGCTGTCACACCCCCAGTCACTTGTGTCAGTCCACATCAGGCCAGTGGCCTGGCGTGGGCATGTGAGGACAGAGAGTGCCAACTCCCCCAGACCTGGAGCGTCCAGCCTGGAATCCACCTGTGGGAGGCCCCTACAAGGTGAGTTCAAAGTCCCAAGGCTGGATTAAAGGGGGACAGTCGGGGCTGCAGAAGGCAGTGGGTCTCGGGGGAATGTGGCAGCCTGTGGCTGTGGACAGTCTCAGCTAGGTGAGCCTCGGCCTCTGGTGGGGAAGGGATGGTGCAAGATCACTCCCCAGGGGGTCCCGGGCAGTGATATGAAAAATAATCTTTCCCCTTCCTGGCCTCGGACCATGAGTCATCTCATTAGATGACTCAGGAGGGTGAGCCGCATTTCCAACCACCATACTACAGGTCACTAAGACAGGGGTTTGGGGACCGGGGTCCGAGGGTGGGGACCCAGGAATCAGAAGCAGACCCAGGTCAGAAGCAGAGAGGCGCTGTGAGGACCCTGGCTTCAGGGCAGGCTCAGCTCAGGTCGGGGTGGTGAGGGCTAGGCCTAGCGCCAGGGTCCCCTCTGTCTCCCTTCCCAGGGCACAAACAGGGGAGCCTTGTGGGGAGGGGAGCAGACAGTGTTCTCCCCTACGGAAAGGGCATGTAGCATCCTGGGGAACGGAGGGAGAAGAGGGAGCCATCTAAGTGGGAAGGCCGCCCCCACTCCAGGGCCTGGAGGGGAAGGATGGCCAGACTGGAGGCAGAACCGCCGTTCTTTAGCCTCGCCCGCCCTCTGCTGGCCAAAGGGCAGAACTGCACGGTGTCGGGCACACTTGCTGGGACCTGTCCTCGGAGGCCCCAGTCTGAGGAGGGAGACATGGTCCTGCCCTCAGATCATCACAGAGCTGCCTCCCCGAGAGGGGAGACACCCACAGGCGCTAGTCAGATGGGAGAACACCTCAGCCATGTCTTCCAGTCAGAGGAAACCCGTCTCCTCTTCTGCTAGTCAGGTTCTCCTCCCTGGGGCAAAACCCTGGCGGGGAATCAGATCCACCTGCCGTGGACTAGCTGTGTGACCTGCGCAAGCCACTCTGCCTCTCGGGCCTCAGGGTCCTCTTCTGCCAGTGGCCCCGGGGGCTTACTGGAGGGCTGAGCGGCCCAGCCCAGCGCGGGAGGGAGACCTGGTCCTCACACGCACCCCGCGTGTCTTAGGTGGCCATCGTGGTGACGGACGGGAGGCCCCAGGACAGCGTGCGAGACGTGTCTGCACGGGCCCGGGCCAGCGGCATTGAGCTGTTTGCCATCGGCGTGGGCCGCGTGGACAAGGCCACGCTGCGGCAGATCGCCAGTGAGCCGCAGGAAGAGCACGTCGACTACGTGGAGAGCTACAGCGTCATCGAGAAGCTGTCCAAGAAGTTCCAGGAGGCCTTCTGCGGTGCGCCGGGAGGGGCAGGGGGTGGACAAGGATGGGCGCTTCGGCGGAGCGTGGGGGGTGCTGGCGTCCGGGCGGGGCCGCAGCGGGGGGCGTGGCTGGACGGGGCGTGGCGTGACGGAGAGCATCGGGGCGGGACTGAGTCCGCATCGGGGGTGGGACCGGGGCGGGGCGGACAGGGATGGATAGGGCCACGGGGCGGGGCCAGGGCAGGGGCAGGGAG